CTGTCCATTTTTGTCTAACATTACAGTTGGAAAATTTGAAAGTCATGTTTTGGATAACATTGGACACATTTGGTGGATATTCTCTGACTGTCCAAAAATACCCATCTAACTTTAAATGTTTCTTACAATGCTCTAGAGAACTATTTTCTCAACCATGATATAGACCAGCAAAATTATCCATAATTTTATTGGTCCACAATGAGAAATTATGTGTGACTATGAATTAAGCTTATTTATTAACTACAGTAGAGCATCGATTATCCAACCCCCGATTAACCGTCACATTGGTTAACCGACCGTTCTAGTTGGCAAATTTCAAATGTCCGCTAGTGATGTGGCGCTACAATATTTGGCTATGTCTTGGCTACTTTAATATTATTTTTGTTAAATTTTTGCGTGTTTTAGCTGGCAGCACAACTCGACCATTGAAGGGAAGCCAGTATTTAAACGAGACTTAATTTTCTAATTATGAATGGTTGTTTGTTTCGTGAGCAATAAAATAATTTAAAAATAATTTTTAACGATACAATAGCAACGATTATTATTTAAAAAAAAATTTGTTAGACTAAACATTGATGAAAATTCAATGCAAAGTTGGTTAATAGCGATATACTAATAAAAACTAATTACATGGGATATACTAATATCCTAATATACTGTACTAATAATGTATTTTTTTCCTTCTTTTCGGTTATCCGATTTTTTCAGTTATCCAACCAACCTGAGTCCCCAATTGAGTCGGATAATTGATGCTCTACTGTATTTTGATCTTTTATATGAATGGAAGATTTATCCTATCAATGTTTATATTTTCCAGTGAAAATAAACCTGACTTATCATGGAAACAACTTCTGAAACTGCTCAGTCTGTAAACTGTGTCTAAGTACGGATTCACAGCCTAATCTATCAACTAAGTCTGTGAACACAGGCCCACAACCTGGTCCTCTTCATGTAGAAACAGAACTGGGAATGATCAAGAATCTAAAACTGGAATCATGCAGAGGATTACTAAATAGTGTAGCTATCTACCCAGTGAATCACAAAGACACATTATGGCACAAATGACCAACTGAAAAAAAGCAAACTTCTGACAACCATACCACGCAAACAATCAAAAAAGCTAAATGAGAAGACAAATTGCAAATGAACACATGTAGGGGGAAAAACCCCCGGAAATCCCAAGCATAGAAATGAAGAGTGCTGTCACAGCTACATCATAGAATATTGTGACTTGTTGCAAAGTATGAGAAAGTCCTACAATAAAGATCAAATTCAGCATTACATCTGTAAAGGATGGACTTAGGCCGACATTCCACTACTGTAAAAACAGCGTAAAACCCCCCGCTGTAAAAGTTTTTAATCACGTGACCCTGATGTTTTACATCTGAGCAGGTCGTAAAACTGGCGTAAAAGTGAGTTGAGCATTGTTCAACTCACTTTTATGCTGGTTTTACGACCTGCTCAGGCATAAAATATTTTACGGTGAGAGGTTTTATGCTGTTTTTACAGTAGTGGAGTCTTGGCCTTACAAAGAAGGTGAAAACCTTGAAAAAGGACTCAATTTAAGCATGTGACATGTGCCAGTAATTTGTTCAACCATTCTTTAAAAATAATGTTTTATTAAGATTTGTTTATTAAAAAACAAAGAAAATTACATTTGTAAGAGGTATCTGGGATTATCTCCAGTTTTTCAATACAGAGGGTGATCGGTTAACGAACACTTTCGCAAAAGATTTTTATGTTCGGACAATGAACACATGATCAGATAACGAACATCCCACAGAACAAACAAGAAGAAGCGACGTAAAATAACGAATACCAACTGGACTTTCCTTGTCTTTGGGCAACAATTCTAAACTTTTCAGAGTGTGGGAGATGTTGACATCGATGCTCAAGCCGGTATATACCGATCGGATAGTATTCCTCCGAACTTTAAAACTCTCCCTTATAATTCCAGCCTATTATTTATATGACAAAATAATTCTTTTATGTATTTGCGAGACTGTCGGGTAGGCACTCGTTAAGTTTTGTGTCTGTTTTTTTTTTTGTAAGGTAAGAGTATAATAGCAAAGGTAAAGAGTGGGTAGAAGATACCTAATGTTGCTGGATACTATGGTGTGAACAGGTCTACAGTAGGCCGCAGTTCATTTTTTAAAGAAAAGTACAGTATAATCAAGAAAACTCAAGCAGCTAAAGGAGTAACAAAAATCACATATGAGAAATAAAGAACATCGAAGAGTTCGTAATGGAACCTGAAACGGATCTGACGACAGAAGAACGCCAAGAACTCTTGAATGAAGAACACCAAGAAACTTGGCGAGATATGTTTTCTTCTGAAAATGCAGACTTATGCCGATATCTGCTATTAAAGATCTTGTAAAGAAGTGGGATGATGTCAGAACAACGGTCTTAAAATGGCATCCAAACCAGGTTGAGGCTTGGGGATTTCTACAATTGCAATGCTATTAATTACTTACGAAAAATCCTGAAGAAGAGAGAAAAGCAATCGACATTAGACAGATTCTTTAACCCTTTCAAACTGAAAAAACATGACTTATTAGTCATGTTTCTTCAGTTTAACGCAAGACTGTGTACGTATGTATTTTTATTATTACATATAAATAAACGTAGTAAGAAAGTATAGCCTATATTTTTTATTTTGGGGAGTCTCCAGAACGAATTAATCAAATTCCCATTAAAACCTATGGTAAATCGATAATCAGTTAACGAACAATTCGGATAGCGAACAAAGTCTTGGAACGGATTATGTTTGTTAACTGATCACCCACTGTATATGTTTTTTGAAAATAAAATTTCAACTTTTATATTGGTAAAAAAGTGACATATTATTTATTAATTTAGTGTAGTAAGACGATGTATCAACTTTATAAGGAACTCCTAGGTTGAAAAAAAAATTTCTGTTTAACCAAAATAAAATCAGAAAGTGTAACTTTAAAATTTTTATGTCTAGGCTACCTATCTTCCTCTAATTTAATAAATTTCTTGAAATGAATGTTTTATAAAATCTTCTGGCCTATTCTGATTGGTCAGCATTCTTTAATTTATTTGGCTATGACTTATAATAAGTCATGGTCAAATAAATTAAAGAATACTGACCAATAGATAATTGAAAGGTACTCTAAGACTGCCAGCTAACAAGTCTTAATTGTTGAATATCAATCATTAAATCATCATAAATGCTTAAACCATTTAATAAGAAATCTTCCAGATTTGTGAACATATCTGTGAGAAAATAACTAATTTCTTTTTTTTCAAAAACCATATCAATTTCTTCCTTCAAAAACTTATTCTCCATAACCCATATTCAGGTACTGCACTCTCAGAAATCTTTTCTAGATTTTAAAAATATAGTTAAATGCCACTGCAATATATACAGTAAGACCTTGCTTAATGCGGGGATGCATTCCTAGACAACAAAGCACTAAGCAAAACAGTGTTAAACAAGGTCATTTTAACAGAGTAAATATGGATAGGGGAACATGAAACCAAAAATCAATAAATTTTACTTTAATTTTAAGTTACTTTTATATTAATCTGAATAATAATATATGTTAAATAACACAAACATATGCACACAGAAATATAAAGTTCATTTTTTGTGATGAAGGTCCTGACTTTTCTGAAATTCTGTTCTTTTGCAATAAAGTCACAAAGTTTCATTTGTCGCTTTTTTCTTTCCTTAAGCAGATGTCAGTAGCAGAAGATTGTATCCAAAACGCCTCGTTTTGCTTTTGCACTCCTTTCAAAATCTGGATCATTCACTACATTTGATCAACAATTTCAGTTATCTTACGAAATTTTTACTAAGGAAATCTGTAGAGAAATTTTTTGGGTTCTTCGTTTTCAGGATCTCTATTTTCCAGTTCTACACGAATTCCATGTTCTGCCAGTTCTTGAAGGTCATCGTTGGTAAGGCTCTCACCAGAAACCTACTGTAACTCCTCAATATCCTGCTCGTCTACATCTCCTAGCCCTGCTATATCAATTAGGTTGAGTTTGGTCAACCTAACGATACAGCAACAGACTCTTCTCATTGAGAATTCTTGGATACCTTTAAATCAGCGTAAATTTTGAGCTTTTTTTAGGCTTCAAGCAGAACACATTATATTGAATCACCATTAAGCGGGGTCTTACTGTACTTGCAGACTACAATATCATATTCTATTTTTGATTTAATTAAAACATTTTACAATGTATACAAATTCATATTATCAACAGATGTTTTAACAGAATTAATATGGCCAATCATTCTAGTTATTTCAATACAGTGCTTCCTATTGTTTGATTTATGTCAGCAAGAACTAAAGAAAATATCTACATCAAAATTCACATCACTTATAACCCATGCAAAGTTAAAAAGAGTTGGCCCATGTACAGAACCCTGATAAATGCCCAAACTGTGAACAATAAAATTAAATTTAATCAATAATTTTGTTAGAAATTTTGGACAAATTTTGAAACAAAATAATATTACTGCTTTATGAGGAATGTTGTGTAATCAAGTCATAAATAATTGTAATATAAACTTGAATTAATTGATTTGTGTTAGTGATGAGGAGACTCATCAGCATGCAAGCAGTAAAATAACAAGGCACAGTGTAGTATAAACATTAAATAACATTCAATATAGAACTAAAGAACGCTTATTGATTATTTTGCTTAATATTTTAATAATATTAATAATTATAAACAACCACTTTTTGAAGTATTATTATTGAAAATAAGTTGAAAATTGGGATCTGTCACATGAAAATGAACAAACTTCTTTCATCAATCTGCGATGGAAAATCGACTTTTTAAATGGATAGAACGATGCGGCCAACTCTTAGATATATTTTACAATAAGTTTTTGTACGAAATTCTTCTTGTAATTTTCGATAAATATTAAAATCTGACCTTTTTTGGAGTCTGCGGCCGCCATAGTTTCTCTGGCGCAGAAGCCTCGTCCCGATTTATCCGCGAAGTATAAAGCTACTCACCCATCGTTCGATAAAGAAAACCGACTCCTTTTCCACTATTTTCACCGCTTTCTGCTTCTTTTTCTTCCAGGTTGTTATTATTGTTGTCAGCCATTTTTACTTTGAAGAAAAATTTTGTTGATTCTTTCCATCCGTCAGGGGTCGCCCCCCTGTTGAACGCGGCCAATCACAATCAAATGTTCATCCGGAACTTGAACATCATTAATCCATAAATGGTCATGTTTTACTGCGGGACTATTCTTTTATATCAAGAACGATTTCATAACATTTCTGAAATTTTATTAATTATTATAATAATTCTTATATTTTAAAATATTCATTTAAATTGCGCTTCAGAAAATTCGTATATTAATTTCTTTTTAAAATTTCAATAGTGAAAAAGTAATTTTTGAAATTGAAATACATATATTAAATAATATTAATCGAGAAAGCATTTACATTAGTAATAAATTATTAATATCAGGGATTTAGAATTTAAAAAAGTGTAGAAAAACTTTTGTAAAAGAAAAATTGTCAAAGTCACTCCTATCGATGCTAACGTGGACGAGTTTCTTTTTTTTCCTCTCGTGTTAAATATAAACAGCTTATTAAATTAATCAAGTATCTGTTATAAAATATTGATGTTAACAATAATTAGTATTATAATTACTATTCAAAAACTATTAAATAATAATATATAATAAAAAAATATTCTAGATAAGTCACGTTTTATTTTCCGAAATATGAAAGATCACGCAAATATGAAATTCGAAGGAAAATTGTTATTGATACAACAACATGGGCAAATTATTTTCGGTTTAAAAAAGCACGCGATAAATAAACTTTGAAGTAAATATCAAAATTAAAATTTTAATTCCAATGTCGCATATGTGTCAAATTTGAAAGCGATGTTTTCGGCTTTGTTACACCGATCATTTTACAAATGGCATTTTATACTTATGACTCCCAATCTTACTTTTATTTGTTTTATTCTTCTGTTTGTACAGAAATGTAAAATATAATCGAGTTGAAGTTTTTGATTGATGTATATTATTTTTTAAAGAATAGCAACTGTATTTGTTATGAAAAATATCTAAGCTTATAAACTGTTAAATATTGATAAATAATATCAATAATTAATTCATTTATTATAAATATTGAATTTATTATTCATAATTAACACCTTACGGAAATCATTCCGTGTTATTCGTTATTACAGTGCATTAAAGAAAATATTAAATTCTATTAATTCTATCTTCTCAATATGAATAAAATTATTTTTATAAGTATTATATGATTGTATCAGTTACATATACAAGTATATACAAGTATATATAATATATAAACTGTAGAAATAAATTATATACACATATATAAATATTATTTATGCAGGCCTGGTTTTTAAATATATTAATGGATTTAATAAAAGTATATTACACATTATTTTATGAAAACAGTTTTATAAAAAAAATAATAGTAAATAAAATCTAA